GAGCTTGTTCACAGCTTCAACTTGGCCGTTGGACTGTGGGTGGTAAGGTGATGAGAAGAAGTGCTTGATGTTATATTCTTCGCATAGAGATTCAAGTCGCTTGCCTTCAAATTGTTTACCGTTGTCGGTTATGATGGAATTCGGCACCCCGAAGCGACAGATAATTGACTTCCACACAAAATCAACGACCTTCTGTTCGGTTATCGTGGTTAACGGTTCGGCCTCGGCCCATTTAGTGAAATAGTCGACTGCCACGATAGCAAACCGGACACCTCCCTTTCCGGTGGGTAGAGGACCTATAAGATCAATCCCCCATTTGGCAAAAGGCCACGGACTGTAGATCTATTTGAGTTCTTCGGGAGACTGATGAACATTCGGTGCAAACATTTGGCATTTCGGGCACTTACGAACCCACGCAGCAGCGTCAGCTTTCAAAGTTGGCCAATAATAACCTTGTCGCAAGATTTTATATGATAAGGCCTGCGCGCCGGGGTGGCTCCCACAGACTCCTTCATGAATTTCTTCGAGGATGTAACGCGAATCAGATTCGCTTACGCATTTCAGAAGTGGGACGGAGTATCCCCGTTTGAACAGAGTTCCGTTCTCTAATGTGTACCGAGCTGCCCGAACCCGAAGTGCTCGAGCTTCTTTTGGGTTTGGAGGTAAGGCCCCAGTTTCTAGGTAGTGGATAATAGGATCCATCCAAGTTGGTGATTTTTTGATGTTACCGGATTGATGGTCGTGACCTCGGAAAGGGCAGTTGACGGTAGTTCTTGCTGGCCGATTTGGACGTACTCTGCACTCTCCATCCCGGTACTGGACGCAAGTCGAGATAAGGCATCTGCTTGAACATTAAGAGTTCGGGGGATATGCTCAAGGTCGGCGGAGAATTGCGATAATTTCCGTTTGGCCAAAGAGAGATAGGGTGTCAACCGAGGTTCTTTGACTTCATATGAACCATTGATTTGATTGACAAGGAGCTGGGAGTCTGAGAAGACTTTGAGGTGAGTCACGTTCATGGATTCTGCCAAATTCAGTCCGGATAGCAGCGCTTCGTATTCGGCTTCATTGTTGGTTGCCGGGAAGAGAAATTTCACAGAGTGACAGAATAACCGATTTTCTGGATCAGCTAAGACTATCCCTGCACCTGCCCGGTTAGCTGTTGAGGAGCCATCAATATAGAGGACCCATGGTTGATTATTATAATGGACTGTGATGGCCGGGGTAAACTCGGCGATAAAGTCAGATAAGGCTTGAGCCTTGATTGCGGTCCTCGGTTGATAATGGATGTCGAATTGTCCGAGCTCAATGGCCCATTTA